ATTTATGTTCGTGTCTTACGAATAAAGTGCTTTCTTGCCAACTGAACCTCTACAACAGGTTAATATCAAGAAACAGGTTCATAAAACTTTAATCTTTTGATACTCTTTTTGATGATGTCAACTAAAATTTTTAAGAACCTATAGAATATTTTGATCAAATTCACTTCATTAAAAAAATTTATTATAAATCACCCTACAAGGAAAGCTTTAAAATTCATGTAGATATCTATTACTTTAATTCCTTAACATGTAATACCGTTAAAACCCCGCAAACAAAATCCGCTTAGGCACCGATTTACCAAAATAACAGGATGACAGGACAAAATTCCAACCAGCCAGCAACTTACCACGGTTCTCCCCAACAAATACTCTTATGCCAAGAAAGATATCTCGCCGAATGAGTTCTCCTGTAAAATTATTCAAATCCATCGCTTCACCTTCTTGCTCTCTTCTTGTCCATCTGTCTTGCTCTGCGCCTTTTTTTTGTTCTTCAGCAGCAAAGTCTCTTCGCTGGCGATCTCTTCCTACTTCATCATTCGAACACGGCTCGTATCTTCTCCTCTACCGGTTCGATTTGTGCTCCGTTGCTTGGTCTAAGAGCGAAACGGTGTTTTTGAGCTAATATGGTCACGCGGTAGCCGCACAACGACGCCTTCTAAAGGTATCCATATGGATGCCGTACGCGCTCCATGCGACGTCTCAGGCCAAATCAGATACCGGACTCGTGTACAATACTTAATCTACGCTATCAACTCAGGAGATCTGACCTCTACCAACCTGCTAGAACTCTTAAGGATGTTTATTGAATATTAATACACCTTGTGATTTTCAACTTAGCTACTTATCTTTTTGTAACGTGTAAATGAAATATAAAATGAAATATAAAGAAAAACGGATATGTACAATATTAAAAAGTCAATTAAATAGTATAATATACATAGTGTATATAGTATAATATACTCTATCGATCTATTAAATTTTTTATATTTTTATTTTGAATTCATGTATGTATGCATTGAATCATTTCAATCATAATTAAAGAGCTCAGCGAATACCGGCCACCGCAGTTGTACCCGGACGGTCATTAATACAGCCCGCGAAGACAGATATGTATCTGTAGACTGAAATTGCTACTGGACTCTGCGTCCACCGACAGTTGACTGCTGTGACAAATGACAGATCGTACGGTTTTTAATTGCTCTCGTGCTCCGTGAAGACTCCGGAGCAACAGCAACCGCTCCGGATTTACACAAACACCGAGACCCGGAGAGAGACAGAAACCTATATATTACACTTAAGTCTTCCGAACCGAACGACGATCGCATATTTCTAGCGCATCCAACAAGTATCATAAGATCCTAAGCAGTGTGTATTCGAAGAGAAGAAGAAGTTAAGCCGAGGAGTGTAACCAGTGATGTGTGTTCCAATCTGGTAAAGTGCGATCTTTAAGCTGACTTGACAACTTGGACTTCTTCGTATCGTATTTCAAAATACTATTAAGCCTAGGTGGGCTTTTAATAATAATTAGATATAATTTTCGGGACAACGAAAGACTTGATATAATTTATGGCTATAATGGGTCTTCGAGAAGACTTCACGGTGTCTTCGAGCGGATGTGAACTACAATTGACGTGCTTGAAAAAGACGTGCTTATTTAACGCTAGGTAAAACACAATGTGTTGACTTGACGTACTTACATAAAAACCAACCATGCATGGATAATATTAATTAAATGAGAAAAACTTGAATTACGTTCTATAGATAATTATAAAGGTTAAAAATTATCTTAAATGTTATATATTAAAATTTTTTGTAAACTTAAAAGGTTGAAATTAAAAGTGTTTAGTAAAATTTCGTGGGAACTTATGTGTACCATATAAGTGACTTACTTCTTATAGAAATATCTTTAATAAAGAAGATCTTTAAGATGTTTTCATCGCGTGAAACGTTTCGGTCACCTCGGTTCCTTTCACGCCTATCCATCCATTGTACCAAAGAATTCGGTTTTTTCGAGGTGACACATGCTTTGAAGCTTTTGAAAGAGTCGCACCTGATTATTCCACATCGACTTTCGTGTGTCGACATAATCTAGCGTCTGAGAGATTAAAATCTATTTAAAAAAGAAAACCCTTCTTGATTCGAATAAGAATAATAATTTTATTTTTTTCGATTTTAAACACTCTTTGGAATACGTCGGTACTAATTAAAAATAAATCCGTTTAAAAATAATTTTGAGATGACGTCGTTTCGAACATAATATTTCGAAACGGTCAATTAAATTTACCGGCTGCACCTTATTAAAGAAGTTGGCAATTTATCTGTCTTCTGTAGTGATGAGTCACACTACAGAAGCTGCACACAATGAGGCGCTTTTAACCGGCCATTATAATACAATACACCTCGGTGGGTGCGGTTCAATTATTGTTATTAAAATTTTATTAGAAAAGTAAGCCGCCGGAACAACTTGTTTGCATTGAATATATAGTAAAACCTCGATATAGTGGACAAAAGTTCTAGGTATAGTGTTAGTTCTAGTTTTAATTGTTATTCAGTGCTAGGTTGTTGTATGTTATTATTGAACTAACACTAGACCTACAACTAGAAACATTCGGTAATGGAATAAAATAATAGATATAGTGTTAGTTCTACATAGTAACAGTGCTACTGCAAAATTAGAACTAACACTATACCTAGCACTAGAATCATTTGGGTTTAGCCGCACGTCTCTAAAGACGGCTAAACCCGAATGATTCTAGTTCTAGGTATAGTGTTAGTTCCATATAGTAACAGTGGTAGTGTAAAACTAGAACTAACACTAGACCTAGAACTAGAATCATTCGGGTTTAGCCGTCTTTAGAGACGTGCGGCTAAACCCAAATGATTCTAGTTCTAGGTGTAGTGTTAGTTCTAGTTCTAGTTCCACATAGTAACAGTGGTAGTGTAAAACTAGAACTAACACTAGACCTAGAACTAGAAATATTCGGGTGTAGCCGTCTTTAGAGACGTGCGGCTAAACCCAAATGATTCTAGTTCTAGGTCTAGTGTTAGTTCTAGTTTTCCTTCAATGAAAAATATATGTACAACAATCTGAATAACAATTAAAACAGCTAGCTTAGTGTGTACTTTATTTTACTTCAAAAAAGTATTTAACATTTGCTAAATCAAAATGTGAAATAGTAGTTGCCTACCCCTGCGTGACGTCACGAACGGGCCTTCGAGCTATACACTTGTTCCCGGGTTCATTTTTGTGTGTATTAAAATTAAACCACTCCCTTCCCCGTATTAATATAACGCATTAATCGAGGTTTTACTGTATATTAATTTCTGGCAAAAAAATCCTAATAAGTATTTCATAGAAATAATATTAAGATTTATAAGCCTGGTTTACTTTACATAATACAACTCCCATCCTACCATCATTAAGACAAACATCTCGGTTTTACGATCTCAATCCGTCGCGAAAGGGGTTTTCTCTTTCTCTCTTTCTCGTCGTAGCAATAACGCGGCAATAATAATGCCCCATTACTACTGTTCCGGGGAGCGGTAGCGGTCTCGCAGCGGGGTCTCCGTATTCATGCCTTCATTTGCTAACTTATTATTGCACTTAGCAGCGTCGAATTTTTAGAGATCGCCGGGTTGGATTGCTCGCGTTGAATTTATTCGATTATGACGGGGCGAAGAATGGTCGCCCGCGCGTGTTCCTATAGAGCCGAAGAAGAAGAGGAAGAACATAGATGGGGCCCCAAAGCACGACAGGACGTGCCACGCCGATATAATCTAAGAAATGCCATGTCCAGTGTATGTGCGCTTCTTGTATATGGACCGAAGAACTAAACTCCGGTTCTCTCTTCTGCGCTGGATGTTATTATGGTGGAACCCTAGGTATTATCTTGATTTGTATAATGGATAGACATTAGTAGTACGTGTGTTAAATTATGATTGACTGCCAATGGTAATTAACTCCGACTTTTCATTTGACCCAATACTTTTGAAACATCCTGTAACTTTTACGTCGTTGAAAGCTTTAAAAAATGATACTTTTATTACTTTAATAAAGATTGGAGAGTTGAAGAAGATCTTGATTTACTGTTATCGAAAAAGAAATAAAAGATAAAATTGAAAAGCAAACAACGGGTTAGCAGGCGAGGCGGTTAATCGTTTCTTTCGGGACACCCGCTACGAGATAATAACGTCGAAGGTGCAATCTGCCGATTGGTTATTAATTGTGGGAAGTCGAATTTCCGGGAAAATAATGCGCCCGGCGTCCCCACAAAAGACCATGATTTACCGCACGCTATTATAAAAGGTATTAAGGAGCGTATACGCGAAAAGGATTCCTACGTGCACGTCCAATTATTTCTACAAATTATACGGCGATTTTTTATTTTAATAATCCAATATTTATGAGTGTATTTTTCATTTTAATGGCTCATCCTGAAAATATCAATTTATTTCAGATATTACAAAAAAGTTCGTTGTAAACATCACCATAATATCACACACACTTAAACCAACCTATATTAAGCAATTCCAAAGAAATTATCGCATTATTTAAAAAAAAAATAAATTAAATTTAAAATTTTGAATGTGACATAACGAATTTGCGCCATCTATTAGAAACCGGATCAATTAAAATTTTTAATCCCAAAATAACTTATAGAATTACAAAAATTCATTTAATTAAAAAAAAATAATAATTCATCACTCTTAATCATTATTTTTAGGAAATAATAAACAAAAAAAGAGCTTTATTAAATATTAAAAAAAAATAAATAAAATTGCGCCCCCTACAAAATGATATATAAATTAAAATGTTTGAGTTAAAAAAAACTATAATAACAAAATATCGTTTTTATGAATAAATTTCAAAATTATATTATTATTTATTAATTTAAATACTTAATTTATTTTAATATTTATTCTCAATTTTTAAATAATTAATTTATTTTTATTTAATTATTAACTTCACCGCGAGATGTCACCCCACGCGTCATTAAAACGTCACTCAATGTAGCTCACCTCAATACCAAGCCGTTCTATTTTGCTCTAAATAAGAGGTTATCCGAAAGTGTGTTATAATATAAGTAATCTTTATAAAATACGAATTAAAATTAATCCCAAGATGTCTAAACGCGCGCAAAGTGAAGCTTTTGAGGATTTATCGAACGTAGAGTTCGAAACGAGCGAAGATGTCGATGTGGTTGATAAATTCAAGAATATGAACCTTCGGGAAGAACTCATGCGTGGAATCTTCGCGTATGGCTTCGAGAAACCATCAGCAATTCAACAAAGAGCTATTAAACCGATTATAAAGGGACGAGATGTGATTGCTCAAGCACAATCCGGTACAGGTAAAACAGCTACGTTTTCGATAGCTATACTACAATCTTTGGATTTTACAATGAGAGAAACTCAAGTTTTGTGTTTATCACCAACGAGAGAACTTGCAGTTCAAATACAAAAAGTAATCTTAGCATTGGGTGATTTTATGAATGTTCAATGTCATGCTTGTATCGGAGGCACCAATTTAGGTGAGGATATCAGGAAATTAGATTACGGTCAACACGTTGTTAGTGGAACCCCTGGAAGAGTTTATGATATGATTCGTCGTAGAGCTTTACGTACTCGAGCTGTTAAAATGCTTGTGTTAGACGAAGCCGATGAGATGCTTAATAAAGGATTTAAAGAACAAATTTACGATGTATACAGATTTTTACCTCCATCAACTCAAGTTGTACTTATTTCTGCCACACTCCCCCACGAAATTTTAGAGATAACCTCAAAATTTATGACCGATCCTATTCGTATTTTGGTAAAACGTGATGAATTGACTTTAGAAGGAATAAAACAGTTCTTTGTTGCTGTTGAACGAGAAGAATGGAAATTTGATACACTTTGCGATTTGTATGATACTTTAACCATCACACAAGCTGTTATTTTTTGCAATACAAAACGTAAGGTTGATTGGTTAACTGAAAAAATGCGCGAAGCTAACTTTACAGTAAGTTCAATGCATGGAGATATGCCCCAAAAGGAACGTGATAATATCATGAAGGAGTTTCGTTCTGGGCAAAGTCGAGTTTTAATTACTACAGATGTTTGGGCAAGAGGAATTGATGTCCAACAAGTTAGTTTGGTTATTAATTATGATTTACCTAATAATCGTGAATTGTATATTCATCGTATTGGACGTTCAGGAAGATTTGGGCGAAAAGGTGTCGCAATTAATTTCGTTAAATCAGATGATATTAGGATATTGAGAGATATTGAACAGTATTATTCTACACAAATTGACGAAATGCCCATGAATGTTGCAGATCTTATTTAGATTTAGATATATATTAAATAATGTATTTTCTATGATAAAAAATTGATTAATGTAAATTTCTACTTTTTGGTTAGGTTATTCTTTTAAGTTATGGACTCTATCTTTTTTCATTTTAAATAAATAGCTTTTTTGTTCAAAAATAACAAATAAATTTAATAGAAAAAAAGTTTTAATTCTTTTTCTTAACCTAAAAAAAATAATTATAACTAGGGTTGCCAACTTTTTTTATATTTCAGAGGAGTTTCCTCTATTTAACAGGCTATCTCCTCCCTTCTCTAATTTCTTTAATCCTCCTCTATGAAGAAAATGATACAAATATAGGCGAGAACCAGAAAATTAAAACCACCACTAAGAAGTTAAAGTATAAATCTCACTGAAGTTAAATCTGAAAAGTGGTCTAACACATACAAAAATGGCTAAAACCTTCTAAAATTAATGATGAATATGCTCAGTGTACTCTAAGTACTAAAGATTTCTCTATTAAAAGTCAAGAATCAGCTTCCCTAAGTAATTAAGTGTATAAGAAGTAAATTAACCTACACTATATAGATGTGTCAAATGTCTGGAATACAGCCAATAACTTCGCCATTTGTGGTTTTAAAGAAAAATGTTTCAAATAAATTTTTTTTTTATTAATTGTGACGGCTAAACTAAGCAATTTTGTATATAGGTAAGTTAAATTAAATCATCATATTTTTGGTTAAGGTACCTGTGGTCTTGCGTTGAATACGTCATGTCGAGACACCTGTATATTGTATATCCATCATTAATTTATGACAAAAAGTATTGGAAATTCTTCAAATGTTGAAAGTGCACGTGCGTTTTTTAAACTCTGGTTTTTGAAGATCAAAGATCAAAATCAATTAATTTATATTTTTCTTCGTTTACATTTATTATTAAATGACTTAATAAATTATTGATAGATGGCGCTCATATACATTTTTTTAATTCAAATAAACATAGCAAGATTTGTTTGTATTCAAAAATTTTCTGAAGTGTCAAATTAAAAATCCTGTTTTTTAAGATGGATTACGAAAATTACAAAAAGTTTAACATGTTAAAATGTGGCATATTAGAAAATAAAGTAAATTTTATATAAATTTTTAGTAGAATAATTTTTAGTTATAGTACCGTAATTTATAGGAAACTGTAAATTTAATTTCTTTGACGACACAAAAAAAAATTATTTTTAGCTTTATTCTAAAACAATAAGAAGTAGACCTATATAACCCCATATTTTTGTAATCAGAAAAAAATAACGAATTTAATAAGCGAATAATCAGTGGGTGTTTTCATTTAAAAAAACGAAAATTGTCATAATATCTAGAAATCTAAAACCCAAACAGTTTTTTTGATTACGTCATCAAATTCTCTGTAAAAAAGTGTCCATATAATGTCTTAGTTATAATACTCTACTTATAATAATAACCAAGATAATTGCACTTGTTGGTTTGACGATATTTTCAATTTTGGCCTCTGGGGGAAAAGTAGAAGACGATAGCGCTTTGAGGTTTTTGGCATTAACAGTTTCTCGAAAAACGAGATCATGACATGTAAGCTAGTTTTTTTCTAGCTCTTATAGTTTCGGAGATAGTCTATTCGAACATCGAATTTGAACCACCCTGTACAGACAATAACAATTAAATATTCATATTTTTAGGTAAAACAGCATGAATTCATATATGAATTAACAAAAATTCATATCATACAATCAAGAGTGGCAGTAAATAACAAGTTTCTGCACACCAAATCATTCACCAGAAGAAGATAATGTGGCTGCAAATGAATTAGGATTATCACATTATATCATAACATATAACACAATTTGTCATAAGATATACTTAATAGCTTCGAGTGTGGCATAAAAGTGCTCAAGCATATTTTTAATAGTGGTAGTGAGAAAAGTTTAATAACTAAGCTGCATTTAGGCTTGATTTCTTGGTCTAAATGCTAAAAAGATAGTTCTTGTTGCGTTACAAAATAAATTTGATTCTGTGCAAATTGATACCTCCAATGTAGAAAACAAGAGAAAACTTGAAAGAAATGTTTGAATTTTACAAAGCTTCATATCAAGAGATACTACATCATGTTACCACCAGGTGGTTAAGTTTGTACCTTGCTGCAGAAAGAATTTTAAAATCGTGGCACCTTTGCTCTCTTTCTTCAGAAACATGAGAGATTGTCCCAATAAAATGAAAATACGCCGGAAAATGAAATCTTGCTATTTTGTGAAATTTTTCTTAAAATATTTTATGATGCTATACTGACATTAGAAAGTAATAAAATATTAGATGATATTAGATGATAATTTTAAAAATAGTAATAACTCCTGTAAATGGACTACTATTTTAAGTAAAACACAAGATCTGTCAAATATTTCACAAATTCTTGCGCTGATTTAGTAAAGTCAAAATTACTCATAACTTTTAATTATGATTTGACATGTTAACAGTTTTATAACTGTATAAAAAATAATAAATTATGAATAATAATGAAATTTGAAAAAGTTTTTTAATTTCCTATATGTTTTTTAAGAATCTCCACTATAAGTAGTTACATTAATTTTTAAAAATGGCAACCTAATTATTATAACTAACATAATAATCACCTGTATATTAATTTAATTTTCCTAATTAAATTTAAGATTTAACGTTCTAAATATATTATACATAATTATTTTTAAATAAATATAATTTATTTAAACCTTTTTGCTGTTGTATTTTGTATTACTCATTCTTAAAAATCCCACACAACCTAACCTAAATTTCTCATGGATTTTTAGATGTAGGCAATTCTTCCTTTCCTTTTATAGTGAAACAAACATGTTAGTGAAGTGTAGTTGATAATTACTCATCAAATCTAAAAGAAAATAATTCTTAAGAGAATGTTCAATGTTAATTTATTAACTTTTTTATTACCCCTTTCATTCACCCCATTTTCTTTATCTTTTAATTACACCGAAATTAATTTACCTGATGAACACTTACAGTATTATTTCTCAAGATACCCAAAAATTAATGAAGAATGCGATCGTGATCCAAATTGTCCTTATAAAGAGTTTTTAGCAACGAATAAATGTTGGGGTTATGAATACAATTGTAAGAGAACAAACAGATATTCAGAACCGATTTGTTTGGGGGATCATAAAGGATGGGTGAAAACAAAAGGGGACCAAATCGACACGTTTTACACCCAAGCTGATTTTGGTTACATTAAAGCTCAATTAGAAGAATTAAAAGTTTATTGTGAACCACTTTTCGCTGACGATAGCTCTTTAGAATGTTCAGATAACTTAAGATTTTGTCGAGGAAGAAATATTATGATTAATTTTACTTCATTAGCAGCAAGAAATGATCCTATTAGGTATAAAATGGATGTTTTAGGGGACGGTGATATAGGTTAGTTTTATTTTTATGTTGAAAATTCATAATTTTATATTTTTATCTTTATAAATAGGGGGTTATTGCAATTTTTATAAAGAAAAGCTAAAGAAGCAATTAGATCATATGAGCCCATTACAAAGTTGGGCCCCTGAAATTAAAAACTTTAAACAACTACAACAAAAACCAATACAAAACAATGATTGTGATGTTATAATAGAAAAACCAACTTTTATCATGAAAATTGATGCAAGTAAGTGATACAACCTAAAATGAATCTAATAATAATAATTTTTAATTTAGCAGTTAATATGTATCATCATTTTTGTGATTTTTTGAATCTCTATGCTTCGATACATTTAAATTCAACCAGATTTGATGATTTTACCACAAACACAAACATTTTAATCTGGGAAACGTTTTCTTATCGCTCTGCTTTTGAATCGACGTTCGAAGCTTTTACAACGAATCAAATTTGGGATTTAAAAACGTTTCGTGGTGACACGGTCTGTTTTAAAAACATAGTTTTTCCTTTATTACCTCGAATGATTTTTGGATTATACTACAACACCCCAATTATTTACGGATGCGAACGTAGCGGTTTATTTCACGCATTTTCCAAATTCATTTTGCACAGATTAAACGTTCCTTTATATAAACGTAAAAATGATAAAGTTAGAATCACATTTTTATCACGAGATACAACTTATCGAAAGATAAATAACGAAAATGAATTAATTAAGGCATTGGAAAATATTGAAGAGTATGAAGTGAGGAAGGTTGTTTATAATCGAAATATTGAGTTTAAGAAGCAATTGGAGATTAGTAGGAATTCGGACGTTTTTATTGGTATTCATGGAGCGGGGTTAACACATTTGATGTTTCTACCAGATTGGGCAGCTATTTTTGAAATGTAAATATTAAATAATTTACTTAAATTACTAAATTGAAATGTTTATAAATTACTTTTAGATATAATTGTGAAGATCCAAATTGCTACAAAGATTTGGCAAGGTTAAGAGGTGTTAAATACTTCACGTGGGAAAATCAAGATAAATTAATTCAACAGGATGAGGTAAAATATTTAAAAAAAATCATTCACTTCTATTGAGGAGGAAAATATAACTTTTCCAAGGTTGGCGCATTTGTATGAATTGACATATGCTTTGGTGAATAATTTTGAGTTAGTTCTTCAGAAGTTTTAATAAGATTCAAGTTTACTCCATGAACCTCAAAAAAACATTTTTTCTAATCAAGTTGACATTTTCAACTCCAAAATGACATTTCCTATTATGAAGTTGTCATCTTAAACTTCAAAATGATATGAAATTGGTGTTTTAAACTTTAAAATACTATTTCCTACTTTTAAAATGTCATTATGAACTTTAAAACGACATTTTTTAATATCAAGTTGACATCTTAAACTTTAAAATGACATTGTCACATTTGACATTGACATTTTAAATGTCAAAATAACATTTCTTATTCTCAAACAGCCTTCATGAACCTCAAAATAACATTTTTTCTGATCAAGTTGACATTTTGAACTCCAAAATGACATATCCTATTATGAAGTTGTCATCTCAAACTTCAAAATGATATCAAATTGTTGTTTTAAACTTTAAAATACTATTTCCTACTTTTAAAATGTCATTATGAACTTTAAAACGACACTTTTTATTATCAAGTTGATATCTTAAACTTTAAAACGACTGTTATATTTGACATTGACGTTTTAAATATGAAAATAACAATTCTTATTCTCAAGCAGCCTTCATGAACCTCAAAATAAAATTTCCTATTATGAAGTTGTCATCTCAAACTTCAAAATGATATGAAATTGTTGTTTTAAACTTTATAATGATATTTCCTACTTTTAAAACGTCATTATGAACTTTAAAACGACAGTCATATTTGACATTGACGTTTCCAACATCAAAATAACATTTTCTCTAATCAAGTTGACATTTTCAACTTCAAAATGACGTTGCCTATTATGAAGTTGTCATCTTAAACTTCAAAATGATATGAAATTGTTATTTTAAACTTTAAAATACTATTTCCTACTTTTAAAATGTCATTATGAACTTTAAAACGACAGTCATATTTGACATTGACGTTTCCAACATCAAAATAACATTTTCTCTAATCAAGTTGACATTTTCAACTTCAAAATGACGTTGCCTATTATGAAGTTGTCATCTTAAACTTCAAAATGATATGAAATTGTTATTTTAAACTTTAAAATACTATTTCCTACTTTTAAAATGTCATTATGAACTTTAAAACGACATTTTTTATTATCAAGTTGACATCTTAAATTTTAAAATGACATTGTCACATTTGAGATTCTCAAGCATTCTTCATGAACCTCAAAATAACATTTTCAACTACAAAATGACATTTCCTATTATGATGTTGTCATCTGAAACTTCAAAATGATATGAAATTGTTGTTTTAAACTTTAGAATGACATTTCCTACTTTTTAAAACGTCATTATCAACTTTAAAACGACATTTTCTTATTTGACATTGACGTTTTAAACATCAAAATAACATTTCTCAATAACGACATACCTCAATGTTATCTGAGTCTTGTGTTAGTTCTAGTGATAGTGCTAGTGTAAAACTAGAACTGAGACCAGACCTAGAACTTTTAGTTCAATAAAAATATGCAACATAGTGATATTTTATGCTAACTAGCGCTACCTACCACCTAGCTAAAAGACTAATAGTTAAAACAAACAATTATGGCATTAAATAGTGATTTGACCAAAGATTTGAAATGTAAATCAAGTAAAGGACTTTGCTGCAAAAAAGTGCAGAAAAATTAATCTTTAAATCTGCTGTGAAGTGATATTATTACAAAAGTTGTGAAAGATTCACAACTTTTCATTTCTTTACGTCGGAGATTTTACAGAAAATTAAAAAGGAGTTGTTACTTCTTCTTCCTCAGCCTGTACTCACCCATTGTTGGAGATAACCCTCTTCCAAAGGCTCCATTTATGCCTGTCTTGCTGTTATTATCCATTCTTTCCCCGCCACATCCTTCACATCATCGGTTCACCTCGTTTCTGGCCTTTCTGCACTTCTACTAGTTTTTTGTGTCCATTTTTCTGTTTTCTCAGTGTCACTGTCATTTATGTTTTTCTGCGAATGTTGCTATTTCTAATCTTCTCTCTCAGAGTGACTACCAGCATTACTTTGAGGTACACCAAGTTGTTCTGCAGTATTCGTTGTCAAGGCTATGGTTTTAATTCGGTAGATATTGACAGTATGAAGTATATATAAGTTAAATCTCTCTTTTATAATCTTAAGCTTGTGATTCCAGACTTCGTAGCACCAGCTAATTATCAATATGATACATTTTTCATTCTATTATGGAGTGCTATGTTTTGGAATACTGCACAACCTCCATTTTTAGATATTGAGTAGTTTTTTAAATCTTAATTTTGTAGTAACAAAATTCTTATTGGGGTTCTTAAATACCATAGACTTTATAGAAGTTGAATTTTCTTAAATATAATCTTTCATTACGTCATAGCCCTGGTGATCAACAGAAGATATGTTTTAATAGCCGTTTTAAGAGAGGTACAGCTAAACGGAATGTTTCTAGTTCTAGTGTTAGTATTAGTCTAGTTTTATTTGTTATTCCGCGCTAGATTATTGTGTATTTTTATTGAGCTATAATGGAGACTGCTTTTCCCGTTTTAATTCGTGATATCGAGGTTTTAGTGTAAAGTCAAATTATATTGACATGTTGCGTTTTATGTGGGACAAAGTAAGTAATTAAATTCGTAACTACAGTTTAACTACTTAAAATCCTCTCTGGTTTTAAAACTTCCGGTAAAAAATAGCTTGGAAAAATTACAACTGTGTAAACGTGAGTTTTCAGAGTATAGTGAATAAAATATACTTTTTAGGGTAAACATCCTGAAGGTGGAGCCCACGCTAAATTTACAAATTACTCCTTCGATAAAACCGAATTTTTAAGGTTGGTTAAAAAAGCTGCAGATCATGTAAAGTCACATAGAAAATTTAACGAATTTATTGAGAAATCAAGTAAAAAGTCTCAAAAAGGTGATAAGACGACGGTTGATGTATTTGATAAGAACGAAGAAACTCAAATCAGGGATCAAGAGGATGAACAAACTGACGATAAGAAAGATATACACGACGAATTATAAATGAAAAAACGTAACTAATAATTTTAATGGAAAATATCAAAATCTTAAACTTAATTCTTTTTAATACACTTTTTTTTGCAAATTAATGTTTTTTTTTTATCAAAATCAAGTTCCTTAAAGTCAATTAAATTATTCCAATAAATGCTGAACTTTGAAACGACAAGAAATTGTGAATCAGAAATTTTTGGAAATATTTTGTAAAATAAATCATTATAAACTTGAGGATTAAATCAGGATGAGTAAACATTAGATAATTTTAGGTAACTAAATAAAATTAATCTTAAATAAAAATTAAATAATTTTATTTTTAGTACAACAATTAGTAATAAATATGAATTTATTACATTAAATGTTAATATAAAAAAATATCACAATTTTCCATAATAAAAAAACCCTTTAGTGCACATTGATTTATTAAAATCCTTGTTAATATTAAGATATTAGAGTAATGAACAATCCTTTTAAAACGAATCAACACTGAACAAGTTTTTATTTGGTTTAATTTAGTTTTAGTAAAAGGGTTTTATTAAAAATTTTAAACAAGATTTGATTTGGTACCTTTTAAACTTTCTTTACTACTTAACTTATAAATAATAACTTTTAAATTAACTTGTACTTTATAAAGATAATAAACAACAACACAATTAACCATCATGTAAACGACCAAAATTAAAAAACTATTTCGCGTACTTATAACAAGCGTTTCAAAGGTCATATTAACAAATCCCGTTAATAAATTGGCAACAAGAAAAAATAACAATCCATTATAATTAATTATATCGAAAATAAATGGAACATGAACTAATTTGCGGAAATTAAATTTCTTATAAAAAAATTCCTGTATAATTTCGTTTAAATAAAATAAACCCGTCATCATCACCCCAATACTGAGTATCCAAAAACAATAAGCACTATTCGCTAAACGCCGTGAAAGAAAAAATTTCCACTCCAAAACGAACGTTATTAGAAATAACAATAATGTGGAAACGAATAATTTTAAGAATAACCCGGTCTTCGAACGGATTTCACTTTCTTTTAAGTTTAATAAAATCCCCATGAATAAAGACAAAAAGTATAAACCAACAAATCCAAGCGAAGAAACGATACCTTCACGGTTAGCATCAATAAAATTATCTCTCGGCTTATCCCCAAAAACGTAATCAGATACCCCGTGTTGTAAAATAAACTCGTGAAGAAATAAAATAATGATACCAGTTGCTAAACTAAATTTTGGCTTAACAAAATGCAATACTAAAGAACTCAAAATCCTCGTCGCGGCTAACGTCATAAAAAAATTCCAATGTTTACCATACTCAGTAACAGAAACGCTATAATCGGTTAACGTAGTTGAAATATACCGACCTACTCCTAAAATAATTAATGGCAAAGCATCAATTAAAGTTTTTTTTAAGGAATTTGTGTACCCTTTAATTTCCGGTGCAACGATTGCATTCGCAAAAACAAATAATCCAACCCCCACATCCATTAAACTATACCCGTATTTAAACGTTTTTTTAAACTGTTTAGGGAACAACTTAAAATCGACAGCTAAAATAGCTATAACGGTAATTAAATTAATTGTGGATCGGACGTTCGTTATAAACGGTTTGTTACCGTTATCGATGTTATTTTTATGACCAGCCTTATTCTCTTCAGTTACACTAGCTAAAATTATAACCAGCAAACTTAAAAATACGCAACAAAACAATACTTCTTTTATAAAAGGAAAGAATAAGGTTACGTTTAAAATGTGAGGTAGAACGATGATCAGAAATTCCAGAAAAATCCATTTCGGAGATTTTTCACTATTGTAGATTGTCGATAAAGTTGTCGAAATAAATACGAGGAAAATACTTGGTATTATTACACTAAGAATTTCCGATGGACTGCTTTCTGTCATTTTTGAACGTCTATAAAAAAATAAATAAATAAAAATAACCAAACGAAATGAAACGATTAAAATGGATTTTGAGGTTAGGTCTATTTTCGAATTAAAAAAATAATGAAATAAAAAAAAATAGTACCTACATTAAGAACTACGTGTAAAACGTATATTCACTGCATCACTCTTGAGGTCTTTTCGGTTTTTTTAAGTATCGTCGAAAGAAAATCGACAATTTTCCAGCGAAATTTAAACGTCGCCGTTTCACGGGAACTATGTAAATACCTTCTTTATCGACACCGCCTATCAACTGACGTCCGCTTTGAACGCTCTCATCGCTGGATGAAATTTTTGAAGATAACGATAAATCCACGCTTTCATTTCGCTGATTAGGTTCCCAAGATGATAGAGGTACTAAATATTCGACTTGCTCCTTTGATTTAGTCGGATGTAAACATTGTTTCGATGATTTTACCAATGTAACCAAATTAACCAAGGAAGGACTCTCCCCCAAATGCCTACCATCACCCGGAATCGCTTTATCGTGCATATCCCAATTATTTTCAAACGCTTTTAATTGAGAACTTTCCCTTTTTACTCGAACGACGGTAATTTCAGAGTCCGTAGGCCCAATACTGATGTAATTATTATCCCTGTCGGTTATATCACCTTCAATATTCAATCTAGTCTCGTCTGGGATGAAATTCCTTTCGTCCAACATCCCTCGCGGGGTTGAATACGCGTATCTTGCTGTTCCTTGAGCATTTGGACCTTTCGATAGGTTTGAATGTATGTTATATTCCCCATTTTTCTTTCTTGCGTCGATTATATCTTCGATATACTTTTTTTCTTCGTTATATTGCAATTGGTATACATTATTCATTGTATTTCACGGTTTAATTTATATTTTAGCAATAAATTTCGATTTTTTTAAAAACAAATCTTGACTTTACTACCAATTTGACAAGTACAAAAAAATTAAACAACACAAATTATAAAATAATTAAATTTTGAATGTAATATTTAAATCATATTTAAAGAAATACTATATTATTAATCTTTATTAAGTTGTATCGATTTATACTTATTATTATTTTAAAAAATTTGATAAAAGTGAAAGTATAAATATGTTGGTATGACTGATTGTCATAAAAAAATCATTTAGTGGGAGAAGGATAATGTCATTTCTGACGTTTCTTTGTAAATAAAGCTAAAAAAACATAAAATCGTGTTTTTTTTACGGTAAGTGCAAGTAATGTGTTTGAATTGTTGAATAAATCGTTGAAAAATGGAAGAAAACTCGGAATTTGAACAAATCGAGGCCGATTCCCTAATGAATAATATCGGTCATTCGATCGACGATCAAGAGAAGGATATGGATACAAGATCGGAATTAAAATTCGATGAGTATAAAGAATCTGAAGAGGAAACGGTTAAAAGAAGAGAAATCGAAAAGGCTTTACAAACAAACTCGTTCAGTTTAAATGTATGGAAGAAATTTGCTGTTCAAAAGCACGGATTAATTAATGGTAAATTAATCGTAAATATATTTATTCTTGCAAAATTTTTATTGTTTTCTTTTAGATGAATTAAGAAGGAAAATTTGGCCTTTACTTTTAGAAGTTGATACTGACCTAACAGAGGTCGTTCCATCTTTAGAGGAACTATCAACTCATAAAGAATATGATCAAGTTGTTTTAGATGTAAATAGGTCATTAAAAAGGTTTCCACCAGGTATAAATTTGCTTGTTAATGCTTAAAGAATGTTTATGTTGCTTATTAGTCACGCTCTGATAATAATAATGACTCATATTAATACTTTCTAATACATTTTGAAATAATTAATTAATTATTTATTTATTTTAGGCATTCCATATAAACAAAGATTAGCCCTTCAAGACCAATTAACAATCCTAATATTAAGAGTAATCATGAAATATCCTGATTTACGATACTATCAAGTGTGTATTAAATGAAATTGTTTAATTAATTATTTAAATTGATTTTGTAGGGTTATCATGATGTAGCGATAACATTTTTATTAGTAGTCGGTGAAGTAGTCGCATTTAGAATAATGGAAGTCTTAAGCACAGAACATTTACGTGAATGTATGGAACCAACAATGGAAAAAACCTCGTATCGCCTCAATTATATTTATGCAATGATTCAAAATGCTGATAAACAGTTGCATGATTATATGGATAGGTAAAATTAATTAAAATTAATGTTATTAATTATTAAATTTGATTTGTTTAGAGCTGGTGTTGGAACAATGTTTGCTTTACCCTGGTTTTTAACATGGTTTGGTCATTCCTTAAATCAATACAAAGATGTAGTGCGATTATACGATTTTTTTTTGGCAAGTCCTCCATTGATGCCCTTATATGTTGCCGCTGCTTTGGTTATTTATAGGCGAAAAGAGATTTTGTATGAACCGTGTGATATGGCGAGCATTCATTGTTTGTTATCACAAATTCCTGATAATTTGGATTTCGAACAAATTTTAATTTCTGCTGCTAAATATTACAAGAGTTATCCGCCTGAGAGGTTGGAGAAGGATGTCAAAAAGAGGATACAAAGAGAGTATGTACCGGGTAGTTTTAATAAATTTTTGTACAAATTAGTTGGGTTTTTGAAGGGGTTGTTTACATTGAGGTTTATTGGAAGGTTGTTTATCATTAGATCGAAAGTAAAAACGTTTTAATTGGATTTATTTTTTATTTGTGATTTTTGTAGTTGATTTTTTTTTAATTGGTTGAATAAAGAGAATATTTTTTATGAGGAAACTTTTGGTAAACTTTCTAAATTTACTTATCAATTGATTTCCTATTTTCGTCATGGACTTTTTTCATCTTCGTATTTGGTTTAATTTTTAGACATTTTCCACATTTAAAAAGTTCTTTTTTACTAAAAAAAAAACTAAATAAGTACTACTTAATTAGCACTCACCTTTATTTTATTTGCGTTATTTCTCCATTTATTTAAATAACTTAAAATGTATTAATAATATTTCTAGAACATCTTCTCTAAAGACATAATTAAATGATAATAACCATGAAATTGGGAGTCACAACAAAATTGGAAACACGATAAGCGATTAATTAGTTGTGAATAAATATTCCATGTAGTTAGAAAAATAATCTTATGACCCAATTCATTGAATCTTTATTAAATAAGAAACATTTTTTGCAATAAAAAAATAACCTTGACATCGAAGATAAACTCCAAGTACATTTAATTTTTATTTCAAAAACATGTTTTTGTAACCAATTTTTTTATCGTACTTTTTAAAATTTTAGATTGGATCAGCGCAAAAAGGAGGAACGTTTAAGAAACGCACGAAATCGAAAACCCAACGACAATTGGATTCGAATTCACAATTACGTCCCTCATTGGTTAATGCTTCACTACAGGAATAAATATGGGATTCTTTTCGCCACTGCCACAGTTTTAATTGGAATTTACGCCTATTTGAAAGCAACGGAAAAGGATTTCAGTCTTTTTAAGTAAGTATGTTACTCTTTGAATTAATTTTTTTAATTGAAAAAATTTATGGAATTATTTCGGGAATTGTTTTATTGAGGTCTTGGACGTCATGACAATTACCGGTTTCCGCTTCCGTCAAACAAATGCTTCACCAGCGATTTTACACGTGTTTTTAAAGAAACAAACTTGGGTAATAAACGTCCTCACCCCATATTAACATGTTATCGTTTTGATTAATTATTTAGTTTGGTGTTAAAAAAAAAAAAGATTAGAGAGCATTTACAAGCGTATTTTTGTAAAAAGCTAATGTTGCTATAAAAAAAGTGTCTTTATTGTAAATAGGCGAAGCTGTATACCGTGGATATTTATTTATTAGTCTTGTTTTTCTTTGCAGGTGATAGGCTTTAAGTTCTAAATGAGATTGTTTACTTTTTTTGTGATACTACTCTAAAAGTTAAGTTGCTAATCTTTTTTTACTACTTTTAAATGTAAGTTAAAGCGATAAGTAGATGTGACAGCGTAAGATTAATTAGAAAGTAAGATGAGCCAAAGTATATTTGAAAATATTATGTTATTTTTTAGTGTTTAAAGAGAAAATAAATATTATATGAGGAAGGTTGAATAAATTAAAAAGCTTGTTTTGATTTAAGGTTTATTTACATATCACATATCTCAAATTAAAAACATAATTACATATACTTGGAAAGACACTAGGAAGCTTTTTTGTTCGAAAATTCACACACAACGAGATCATTTCAACTCTAAATCGTATTTACTAAATTAGCTATATATTGAAGTACATTTGGATTACTTAATATACTCATATGGTCAACTTTTGGTAGTGGTCTCGCGTAAACTCGTTGTTTTTGTTGTTTAACCCACGACATGCACCCTTCTAAGGATCGCCTATTCACCGTTCCATCACCATCGCCATTTACAAATGATGGAGTGTCATAAAATTTACCTGGCTTATAAATTAATCTAAAAAATATTTGTAAATAAATTTAAAAAATTTAATATCCTTGAAAATTTACTTTTCCACAGTTGGAACATCGGTACCATACAAACAATGCACCTCAACTCCTGGAGCTCCTAAACTTAAACTATGAGGTTGAGTGTCTTTGTACATTTCCCATCCATCAGGATAATCGACGTCACTAGAAAATTAATAATTCAAAATCAATAAAAGTAGTAATTTGGAAAAATAATACTTACATAAAGTATTCTTCAATGTTAGCTAAAGTATAATTCTTTATATCAGTTTCTACAAGGACTTCGTCTTTTTGCCAAAAATGTGATGATGGCATTAACCATGCTAAACTGGGATTAGTAATTTGTTCTTGTTTCATTGTTCTTTGGTTTAATACGTAGGAACCCAAATCATCGCCTAAAAATAAGATAAATCATAAATAAAAGCTATTTTTTTGGCGGGAGTTTTAACATATATCATATTATAATATGATTATCACTTTAAAGTTTAAAACAATTTCATATTTTAAAGTTTAAGATGACAACTTCATAATAGAAATTGTCATTTTGGAGTTGAAAATGTCAACTTGATTAGAAAAAATGTTATTTTGATGTTTAAAACGTCAATGTCATTTTAAAGATTATAATGACGTTTTAAAAGTAGGAACTATTATTTTAAAGTTTAAAACAACAATTTCATATCATTTTGAAGTATAAGATGACAACTTTATAATAGGAAATGTCATTTTGGAGTTGAAAATGTCAACTTGATTAGAAAAAATGTTATTTTGAGGTTCATGAAGTCTGCTTGAGAATAAGAAATGTAATTTTGATATTTAAAACGTTAATGTCAAATGTTACAATGTCATTTTAAAGTTTAAAATGTCAACTTGATAATAAAAAATGTCGTTTTAAGGTTCATAATGACATTTTAAAAGTAGGAAATATCATTTTAAAGTTTAAAACAGCAATTTTATATCATTTTGAAGTTTAAGATGACAACTTCATAATAGGAAATGTCATTTTGGAGTTGAAAATGTCAACTTGATTAGAAAAAAATGTCCTTTTGAGGTTCAGAAAGTAAACTTGTGAATAAGAAATGTTATTTTGATGTTTAAAACGTCAATGTCATTTTAAAGTTTAAGATGTCAACTTGATTAGAAAAAATGTTATTTTGAGGTTCAGGATGTCAACTTGCGAATAAGAAATGTTACTTTGATGTTTAAAACGTCTATGTCAAATATGACTGCCATTTTATAGTTTAAAATGTTAACTTCATAATAAAAAATTTCGTTTTAAAGTTCATAATGACGTTTTAAAAGTAGGAAATATCATTTTAAAGTTTAAAACAACAATTTCATACCATTTTGAAGTTTAAGATGACAACTTTATGATAGGAAATGTCATTTTGGAGTTGAAAATGTCAACTTGATTAGAAAAAATGTTATTTTGAGGTTCATAAAGTCTGCTTGAGAATAAGAAATGTTATTTTGATATTTAAAACGTCAATGTCAAATGTGACAATGTCATTTTAAAGTTTAAGACGTCAACTTGATTAGAAAAAATGTAATTCTGATGTTTAAAACGTCAATGTCAAATAGACAATGTCATTCTAAAGTTTAAAGTGTCAACTTCATAATAAAAAAAAACAACAATTTCATATTATTTTCAAGTTTAAGATGACAACTTCATAATAGGAAATGTCATTTTGGAGTTGAAAATGTCAACTTGATTAGAAAAAATGTTATTTTGAGGTTCAGGCTGTCAACTTGCGAATAAAAAATATTACTTTGATGTTTAAAACGTCTGTCAAATATGACAATGTCATTTTATAGTTTAAAATGTCAACTTCATAATAAAAAATGTCGTTTTAAAGTTCATCATAACAATTTAAAAGTAGGAAATATTATTTTAAAATTTAAAACAACAAGTTCATATCATTTTGAAGTTTAAGATGACAACTTCATGATAGAAAATGTCATTTTGGGGTTGAAAATGTCAACTTGATCAGAAAAAATGTTATTTTGAGGTTCATAAAGTCTGCTTGAGAATAAGAAATGTTATTTTGATATTTAAAAAGGTCAATGTCAAATGTGACAATGTCATTTTAAAGTTTAAGATGTCAACTTGATTAGAAAAAATATTATTTTGAGGTTCAGGATGTCAACTTGCGAATAAGAAATGTTACTTTGATTTTTAAAACGTCTATGTCAAATATGACTGCCATTTTATAGTTTAAAATGTCAACTTCATAATAAAAAATGTTTAAAAAGTTTATAATAACATTTTAAAAGTAGGAAATATCATGTTAAAGTTTAAAACAATAATTTCATATCATTTTGAAGTTTAAGATGACAACTTCATGACAGGAAATGTCATTTTGGAGTTGAAAATGTCAACTTGATTAGAAAAAATGTTATTTTGAGGTTCATGAAGTCAACTTGAGTCCTCATAACGACAAAATAACGCTTCAATTTGAAAATACTACTCCAAATTAAAAAATAGCACGACTATTTCGTTTCCTTTTTAGTCGGTTCAGTGATTTCTGGTTCTTTTTGGTATAAAAGTTAAAAGAGTTTTCTGTTTCTAAATAGAACTATTTTTTTTAAAGTGGATTTAAAATACTTACCTATAGCATAAACTTTAACAGCTTTAACAGATCCACCCCAAGCACCACTTAAAGCCACCAATGACTTAATGTACTTGTCCTTCCAAGATTGCTTTTGCATATTCAAAAAGTATTGTGTCATTGGCCCACCCATCGAGTGGGCCAATAATATTACGGAAGTTTGATTATTTTCATTGTAAGTTTTTTCAATCAGATCTTTAAGTTGTATAAAATAATCCTGGTTTTCATCTGAAATTAATTTAAATCATCATAAATAAGCATATATTTGGTTTTTAATATCATGTTGATAAACACGTGTCAAGGACTCATGTTAACGAATAAAAAATTATCGGTGTTTAAACACATTTTAAAGCAAAATAAATATTTTAAAAGTTAATGAATTCTTGTTTAATCTAGAACCAATAAAGCCTGAGAAACAAAGAAAATAATTTTTCTAATATTAATCATGATAAGATAATCTAAATTTATTAATAATTATCTGTACACATTTTTCTTATTTTTATACTTACTTGGTGCTTTCCTAAAATCGTAGGGCGCACCTTTCAAAGTAACATTCCGAACATGGCCCAAACCAACTAATTCGTTAGCTATATCCTTAAAATAAGCTCCGGAAGAAGCATGACTAGGATCCAACCACTCCACAGTTTCCGTCCCTCCAAATCCTGGAATTCTAATATCTACCCCAGGAGTATTTTCAGTTTTACGCGTTTCGTTATTGTAAACCAATTTAATATTGTCAATCCAACAATCGATTACAACAGGAACCAAAAGCTCCAAATTTAACCAAATATTAAAATAATCAGTGCTAGTTTTGCCACAAATATAATGAACGGCCGATGATTTGTTTAATTTAGCTTCTACCTGAGATCCACCATCACCTGGGACGAAAATAAACGGATGAAAAACTCCGTATGATGTTTTTATAAAAAATAACAATAATAAACTGATGAAAACTTTGAGGTTATGTTTAACTATCATTATTTTTTAACTGTCTTATTATTGAAGTTTTTACACTATACTTATTGAAAGTCGAGAAATGCAATGAGAGTTACTCAGATATTATTTGGCTTATCACTAAAATGAAACTCGAAACATGTTGATTACGTATATTTGTTTTTCTTTGTTTGGTTCAAATAATTCAATTTTATTGCGCATGCGTTAGATCACCCAATTTTTTTTTTAATTATTATTATATTACAACATTTATGTGACTTGTTTTCATCTAATGACGTTAATTAAAAAGAAACTCGTGTAATTTCATAAATATTGTTTATTAAATAAACTAGAGGAGAACTAAAATAAAGTTTCACTGTTTGGGGTTAGCTTGGAAAACTAAAGATAAGATTCTTCAAGCTGTGGGGACATCACCAGCTAACCAATTACTTTTAGCCCCCATAATATTAATATTTATAAATACATAACCTAATTTATCAGAGAATTTCTGCTACCAACCTTGAAATTCGAAATATGTTAAATTATTTTTTTATGGAAAACTTTTCTATACGCTAAAAAACGATTAGTTTCGTCCTATCTTATTCAGAAAAAATCAAAGTTTCTTATTTTGTACTTTTTAAGACGCTTTATTTGTTTATTAAAGAAAATTATTAGTTTTTCAAAACGAAATGTGCCGAAAAAAGTATTTGAGTTGGTAATGGAATTGATTAAATGTCACTAAGTTTAAATATTTTTTTTTAAATTGCTTTTTATTCATATTAATTACATTATATACTACTATTATATTCATTTTTTGTTATTAATTGTTATTTATTTATTTCTTTGTTAATTGCGTTGCAATATAATTTCAAAAGTTAGATATTTTTCAGATTTAGTACCTTTATTTTTTTTTAAATTGGTTACGCTATGAAATTGACAACATCCATTTGAGGTTATTTAGTTTTTATTTTCAAAAATAATTAATATTTTGCAATCAAAACGAGTGAAAAACAAGAAGAATCAACCATAGACAAGTTAAAAAGGACGTTTAAGAAAAATCCCCCGACATAACTCAAATATCATCTCAAATCGGATGATGAATCTCATTCTAGTTTTAATTTTATTTCGACCTAAAAGGTAATATAACCCAAAATTACTATTTTAATTTACTTACATTTTCTCCAAATATGTTTTTGATGCTAGTTTATTATGTTTTTTCACTTTCAATCCTTTCTTTAATCCAATGTTTGCGATTAATCTCTACGTGTTTTATTTTTTGCAACTTGTAAAGCAAATACACCAGGAAGTTATTCTGTTGCTGATGTTTACTCGGAACGTTTTGTTAATCAAAATGAATCAATCGAAAAAACAGCAATTATAAGAATGTTCCTGATCTATTGCATTAAACAAGATGTGTTTATTTAAAACAGACATGGAAAAAAATCTTTAAAATGAGCCTAATGAAAGGGTTTCTATAAAGTCAATATATACTATATTCCATACATAATGGGCACCTTGTATTTACCCAGAATTTTAGTGCATTTTCCACTGATATGTCGTAAAAGGAAATCGGTGTTAGTAATGCAACCTTAATTGATGGTTAAACCATCAAATGGTAATCCAATGACATTATATAAAGTCATTAACCAAAAATACTACTTAGTTTTCTCTATTTTCATTAGTGTTGACAAAGCTTTATGCCAGACAAAGTAACAGGTAGTTATAAAAACGTTAATTACTCCAAATTTTATTTGAAAAGATAAAAGGAGATCCTCAATAAAAGGTTTGATTGCACTCATAAAGTTGAAGTTATTTATTAACATGATTTGGATTTTATTATTGTTACAAATAACGCTAACAATTACAGTTAAAGATGTTAAAATAAATTGTCTCGATTACTTATTCGACGAAAATTACGGCGGGTTAAAAGGTTACACGGTTATTATTAATGGATATTTTGATATTAAAAATCCCGTATATTTATGTGATACAAATCACGTAAAAAATTTACCTCAAGATATTAAATATAAAAATTTTGTGATTAACTTTAATACTGTGGATGAAACAAATATCTTATTAAAATATATTCAAGAATTAGGCAGTTTTTATTGCCAAGCTAATTATATTTTTGAAATAAATAACGATGAAATCTTGCCCATCATGGATTTATTAAGAAAATATAAAATCAATAAATCTATTTTGATGTCTAATAATACTATATATTTTTTCGATCCTTATAAACTTGATGAAAAAGAAATTTATTTAAAAAATGAGACTTGTAAAGATTTTAAACCAATTTGGGTGTATAAAAATTGCACAATAAAACTTGCTTGGGATATTAGACCACCTTACGCAATAAATGAGAATAAAAATAGTACTCCTGGAATATTAATTAGTATTATAACAACATTATCAGAACATTATAACGTTAATTTACACTTTAACAAACCTTCTTCTGCCTATATTCGAGAAATGCATTTAAAAGGATCTTTTGGGTTAATAACTAAAGAATTCGATAGTGGATTAAGCGATGTTGCTGTTTATGGCGCTCCAGCTCTAAATTTAATAACGAATTATAGTTTTATTACAAATTACGTCGTACAAGATGGTTTACAATATTTAATACCAAACCCAAAAGAAATTTCGGGGATACAAAAATTTACTTTTTTGATGCCAACTAATTATTGGTTAAAAATTATATTTACAATGTTAATTTGCACTTTTGTAATGATCGCTATCAATTTTCGAACGAAACACACAACCAGAATAAGTAGTTTATTTCTTTTGGTTTTAAGTTGGAACTTAAGTATATCGGGGAGTGATAAAGTATTTCAAAAAAAGAATATAATTGTACCTTCGATTTTATTTTATGGAATCGTTTTGGTGGTTTACATCCAAGGGAAACTATTTAGTACATTTACTATGCCTATTTATGAAAAACCTATATCAACTATACAAGAAATTTTTTCGGCACCTTACGATTTAAGAGCTATCCCATATGTTTTTCAACGGTTAAATCAATCTACAAGCAGCAAAAATTTCGTACCAATTAATGACCCTCTCGATGTAGCAACTGCACATTTTTTTAAATCGAGAGATTTTATAACTCTCGGCCAAGATATTTTCGTGCAATTACACGTCCATTATAAAGGAAAATATAGGACTATCCAAACGGAAAAGTTCTTTTGCACAATTCACACGCGAAAATGTTTCCCATTATTCGATCAATTCAACAAAAACATTTTAATTCTACATCATAGCGGTTTAATTAACCATTTTTGGGATAAAATCCGTTGGAATATCATCTTAAACACTGAATATTACGTTGATAACAATAAGGACCCGAAAAAACTTTCAATAGACACCTTAAATATAGCCTTTATTGGGTTATCAATTGGAATGTTTTTAGCTGGGATCATTTTTATTTTTGAACTCATAGCATGGAGGTTACAAAACAATCAAATAATATAATAGTTGACGTAGCAACATAACAAGACATTTCAATATATAAAAATGCAAATTCTTAAATACGTGGAAGATGATTTAGCGAATAATTTAGAAGTCGATGGAGATTATGTTAGTGTTTCAAAACGCATTCTTATGCACATACTACAATTGCCTTCCGAACCAGTATGGCACACGTGTGTTTGTGTAATGTGTTATTTGACAGTAATAGGACATACAGTTTTTTCTGTTAATGGAAAATGTCATACTCATTTAAGAGAATATAAATTTATCTGTAAGTAAATTAACAATACAGTAAAATCTTGATATAACGGATTCGAACAACTATCTACACTGTTGCATTCTGTATTAGTTGGTTCTAGTTTTAGTTCAATAAAAATATACAATAATTTAGCACTGAAAAATAAACAAAACTAGAACTAACACTTGACCTAGAACTAGAAACATTCGGATTTAGCCGTTTTGAGAGACGTGCGGCTAAACCCAAAAGTTTCTAGGTTTAGTGTTAATTCTATAAAAATATACAACAACCTAGCACTGAATCACAATTAAAACTAGAACTAACACTATACCTAGAACTAGAATCATTTGGGTTTAGCCGCACGTCTCTAAAGACGGCTAAACCCGAATGATTCTAGTTCTAGGTANAAACTACATCGTGGAAACTAGTTGATAAGTCTAGTTGTTGAGTAGTTTAGTTACCTAAAGTATTTGGTATTTTTGTTTATTTTGTTCTAGTCTGAATTTCTATATACATTTAACAATGAAATATTTTACCTAAATGGACAAATGTACTATTATTAAATACTTTATTTAAATGTATTTTAGTCGTTTTGTCTACCTGTTTTCATCGTTACATCGATCGTTTATAGAAAATATTTTTTAATACAAAAATTTAGGTACGACGTCTATATTTAGGTAATAAAGCTATCTACTACCATTAATAATAAAAATAATATTAACAGTAAATACATCTATTAATATTATATAATGAAACTAATTTGATTAGGTCTCAGTGTAGTTCTATCACTATCATTATTACTGGCGGTAACCCTAGACCTAGAACTAGAAACTTTTGGGTTTAGCCGTCTTAAGAGATATGCGGCTAAACCCGAATGTTTCTAGTTCTAGATCTAGTGTTAGTTCTAGTTTTACACTAGTCGTGTTACCATGTAAAATTAATACTATACCGAGAACTAGAATCATTTGGGTTTAGCCGCACGTCTCTAAAGACGGCTAAACTCGAATGCTTCTAGTTCTAGGTATAGTGTTAGTTCTAGTTTTACACTTGCGCTGCTACTAGAACTAAAATTTGACCTAGAACTAGAAACATTTGGGTTTAGCCGTCTTGAGAGACTTGAGGCTAAACCCAAATGTTTTTAGGTCTAGGTTTAGTGTTACTTTAATAAAAATATACAACAACCTAGCAAAAGCTAGAATTTATAGCCTATGAGGTATGATTACTCTTGATATCATTAATATTTTCCTTTCTAATAGTCTCTAACAATTTCCACTTAGTTTCATAAAAATATTGAACAATCTAGAATAACAATTAAAACTAGAACTACTGATTTATCCATCGTGTATAGACAACTCGGGGAATACCCCGAGTTTATCTATAAACATTTGTTCGTTATGTCCGAAGTCCGTTATATCTAGGATTTAATTAACGAAATCTATTTCTCTATATTTACAGCGATTTTTTACATAGTGGATATTGCACTTGCTATCGATACGATTTTAACAGCTATAAGTATTTATTACAAAAAGAAATATCCAGAATTAAGAGTGATAAGACGACGATCATTGATAATATTTATAGAAATTATGTCAGTGCTTCCCATCGAGTTTTTATCAAAAAATCCAAAAATGATGTGCACTTTAACATTAAACAGAACATTAAGAATCATTTTGATCGTATATTTTAATAGTAAAAGAACCGATGAGATTCAATCTGGAATACACGGTAATAAATTGATTGAAATTTGTTCTTACCTGGTATTCTTAACGTTACTATCATACGGAATTTACTGCAATTATCAATGTCATGCTAATGATAATTGTGATTCTGTGATATGTTCGGATACATTTATGGGCGCTTTAAGTTGTATGGTTACGTCGATCGGCTATGAAGACAACCCAGATGATACTTTATTTTTGATAATTAACGTTGTTGTTCAAATGGTGGTTTTTTACTTTGTTTCGGCAGCAGCTTCCGCTTATTTTTCAGTTTCTTACGTTACTTATTTTTTTAACCAAGTTATTTATTCGAATTGCACCTTAGGAATGATCGATTTTGTAAAACAACTCCAATCACCAAAATTTTTACAAGACAGGATTTACGAAGAATTTCATTTGGCATGGGCTATGAAGCGAACTTACTGTTATGATTTATCCACCGTAGGATATTCTATGGGAACCACCTTTCTTCATCCGAGCATGTACAACGAACTAATGATTGATATAGCTTGGGTTTCTTTTAAACATTCCCATTTATTTAGAAACGTCGATTTTCATTATTTACGCTATTTATCTAATTATGTTGCGTTGGAATACAAACTCCCGGGAGAATATTTATATATAACGGGCGAATGGAAAAATAAAATGATTTATATTTCTTCGGGAACAATCGAAATTATATCGAACGAAGATAAATGTTCTTCGATTTTATCACTTTGCGAAGGCACTTTAATAGGTGCTTGTACTTTATTGTTTGGATATAGGTCATCGCATTATATTCAATGTAAAACTTTTTGTGAATTTCATATATTAAGGAAAAGTGATTTTATAAAGTAAGTATATTGAATTTTTATTATTATTTTTTTAATGTTATGTTGTAAGAACCAAAGCTTATAGATACATATTATAAATTTAAAGATAACAAAGACAAAACTTGGTGTTTGGCAAATTACGCAAGAAATTTTGGATGTTTGGAAAGGGGATTGTTTTGAGATCAGGAGCTGGTCATAGATTCATTTCAAACGCAAAGATGGTTTTGTATCGGTTGCAGAAAAATGCTATATTGACCAGAAAAACATGGCTAAAACACATTACAAACATTACGAAGAGTCTATTGTTATGATACACCAAGTCTCAACTATACTAATTTAACGTAGTCAACTACTCTTAATGTATGAGAACAATCTTTTTCATGTCCCATGAAATCTTACAAGAGTGATGCTGAAGTTCGTTTCAATGCTATAAGACTATAATAATCTTCATAAAAGAAAACGTGAGAAGATGAACATGAGCCACAGAATACAAGTTAAAGTCCCAGAGTTGCCAAATATTAACTCATTTAGTAAGACAGATTTTTGTGGTTAATACATGATAGTATCGGTTCTTACAACACAATAACAAAAAACTACAATGTATTACTTAACTACAATGTATCTTTTTTTTAGAGCATCACAATTTTTTCCCGAAGAATTTAAAGCAGCAAAAAATAAAATTTATGAACGTTACAACGGCGCATTAGAAGCACACGCCATGTCAGTACGTGCCAGAAAATCGGTTATTAGTAAAAAAGAAAACGTCGATTCTTACACGCTTTTATGGGTCAAAAATACATTACATCGTTTAATGGCTACGGATGCTGATTCAACTTACAGACACGAATTTCAAAATATCTACCTGACAACGGAAGTGGAAGTGGAAGCATTTAGCAAATTATTATTCAACGCGGATTTCTTTGATATGTTAGTGGTGAAAGAACGATTACAGGTTGATACCGATTCGGTGTTCGTTAGAAATACGTTTCCGTTCATTTTCCAACCGAATTCTATTTTGGCAATTGCTTGGCAAGGTGTTATAACGGTGTTAATTATTCTTGTGTCTTTTGCGATACCATACGTGGCATTTGTCGTTGAGGAACCACCTAATTCGTATTTTTGGATTATAAGAGGTGCTACACACGTGTATTTATTAGATGTTTGTATTCAATTATCGACAGCCACAAAAAGTAGGCATGCAATAACCGTTACACACTCAGCAACCATAAAAGCCAGATTACAAACGGTTACGTTTTGGTTGGATGTTGGAGCTTTAGTCCCAACTGAAGCTTTTATGTGTATTTTAAGCACTGTGGTCGATTCAAGTATTAAAGCACAATTACAATTGAACCGATTATTAAAAATTTATAGACTTAAATTGTTGTTTGATGTGTGGGATCAACAATTTAGTACTAAAAAACTTACAGTTAGATACGTAAAATATTTCTGCCTGGTTATTTATGGTGTGTTTGTTTTATATTGCGTACTGAGTTATTGGCTTAAATGGTATAAAGTTCCTGAAGAAGGGCATCTTATGTTTAAAGCGGCGTATATTTTCACTAAGTCGTTTGTGTACCGAAAATTCACCCCACCACACGTTTTTTTCCCGTTTTTAAATATACTCACAGAAATATTTAGAATACTAATGTTTTCTAACATAATGGCTGGGTTTGTTATGGAAACTCTATCAAAATTTCAAATACAACAGATGTATGGAAGTGTTACCAAAGTGCTTACTCCCGGATATACCCATAAATACGAACAAAGGATTTTGCAAATTATTGAGTTAGAATGGTATCAAAATCGTTGTAACAGATTACGATCATCGGATAAATTAGTATGTATGATGAGCCAGTTCACTTACAGTGAATTTATGACCAGTCAACTTGCTGATGTTTTAAAAACTGTTGAGTTTTTCAATGATTTTTCCGATGACCTTATTGCCGATATATGTGAAATTTTTTACATAACCGTACTACCACCAAATGAAGCTGTAATATACGGCGGCGATCTTTCAAATGTCATCACCTTAATATTTAAAGGTACTTACGATATTTTTAACGAATACGGTGTTTATACAACCACGAAAAACACACCGACGGTAATTAATTTAATCGAAGCTTTGATGAATATTCCAAGTATTAATACTGTAACGTCGGTAACACACTGCAGAATTTTTTACATGAATGCAAACCGTTTTCGTAGCTTATTAGTGAAACATACACGATACGCAAGTGGATTATTGCAGGCTTTAAAAGCAAGCGATGATTTGAAAATAAAATTACATCGTATGTCAAGAAAAAATGTTTTTGATGTAAATCAAAGTATAAGGATTAAGGAGAAACGTCGACCAAAATTCTATTATTTTACAAATCTTGTCGCCGATTCAGATGAAGAGATCGATTATCATTTACCTTTCGATAGAATACACCCGTTTTCATTTATCCGTTACTTTTTTATGAGAAAAACAGTAGATCCACACTGCAACTTTATCAAATACTGGGAAACATTTCGTTGCATTTGCGCCATCTTAACCGGAATGTTTACGTTTATAATTAACGCAAAAGAAATGTTCATAATACTATTAATATTGGATTTCGCAGCGTTAATTGACATTTATTTAAGATTTCATTTTGCGTATTACGACGAAAACGGAGTGTTGATATACCATCCATTAGCAACAGCAAAAAATTACATTACGGGAGCTTTCGCTATAGATTTTTTGGGCATGTTTCCTACGTCTTTTCTTCAATTGGAACTTGGTGGCATACTAGAACTTGTGCAAAGAGCCAATAAACTCTTACCTATGTATCGATATATAGGTTTTTGCATGACTTTTATACAATATAAAATCACCCCTGTTGCTAAACCTTATGGTCTGGTGTTTATACCGGTTATTTTGGTTTTAAGTTGTGTTTCTGCTGCTATTATTATTGTTTTGCAATGTGAAGTTATTACTAAAGATGACGGGTAATTTATTTAATAGATCAAATTAACAACTATACAGGGTGTTTCGGTGACTGGGGGAACAAATTTAACCACATATACTAGAGTGAAAATGATGACGATTCATGTAAAAAATATTAGTAAAAGTCCTCAAATTTCGAAGATACAGGCCATCAAAGTTATGAAATTTTAACACATTTTTCTAAATATCTTAAACACTATTTATGGTAATGTGCTGAAATTTGGTACAGTATAAACTAATATCACGTAAAACCATTTTGTTATTTATAAGTTGGATCGGTCCGCGGGAACAATGCTATACAGGCTGTTCCTAAAATTTGTTTGCTCAGAACTTTTTTATTCGATCGTAACCCTACATTTATTTTTACAGTTTCTAATAGAAAATTTATTTTAGAAACTTTTATTACTCTTAGATAATATTGATAAAAATCACCGTTTTCGTGTTAAATGCAAAAATGTTAGGTTCCGATTTCAATAACAAAAAAAAAAAAATCTAAGTCGGCCATGACAAGTGCAAATCGAACTGAGCCGTCATAAATATTATGTATGTAACATTTCCAAGTGTAGATTAGGTAAATCCCTTTTTAATTTGTTTTAGTTGATTTAATAAAAGATAATACAAAACAATAAATTTAATTTTAACGACAACGCTAACAGGAAAAATAAAACAAATACATAAAATAACAAGACAAGTAATAAAAAATACTATAGGAAATGTTCAAAAAGACCACATGTCCCTTCTGGTATTTAACGGAACGTCACTAAGAACTCGTCCAATCCTTCCAAATGTTGATGGTATGTAGGGCCATCAAGTCTTGACGGCAAGAAAACGGGACCAACAATGACATCCCCCACAATCCCAGCCCAAACATTGAGAGAAAATCTCCATTGAGATTTCCAAGTTTTGAAAAATTTTGGATTTTCTTCAGCCCAACTATGTAAATTCCTTAAATTAATTATTCCATCTTTGGAAAAAGTAGATTCATCGGTGAAAAGTATTTTTTCTAAAAACTGATTATCAATTTGTATTTTCTGTTGCATTTTCTGGCAATATTCCAATCTAATTGGATAATCGGTAAGCTGTACTTCCTGAACCTTACGCAGTGAAATGGGTAAAGCTGCTGCTTTCGAAGAATACGCCACACAGACGTTTTTGACGTCCCAAATCGCCTAGCCATGTCCGAAGTACTAGTGGTACTATTTTCTTCTGCATGTTCATTAACTCTTCCTTAAAATTACCGTTGTTCAGAAAGATATGTTTTAATTTATTAATCATTTTCTCTTAATCGGGCTTCAATTCGAGAAAACGTTTTTCTGTTGGTGGTTCTACGATTCGGGAATTTTTGCCGATAACGGTTAGCGGCTGCTACGGAATTTCCAAGACATTCACCCAATGTTAAAAGCATATCGGTTTGTTCTCCAAACGTGTAATTTTCCATTTCGAACACTACAAGGTTTTTAGTATTTGTTTAAANCAGCGTGTATGTTGACAATCTCTTCAGGGTTGGAGTGCACACCGCCATCGGTAGGATCAATGAGCTCCTCCGTTCCAGGTGTCTTTTGGTATCTTGATAGTTTTCGAATTTCGTGCCAATAGTTTCTTCCTTTACACAGTTTTATTTTGTCACAGGCTTCCATGTACTTTTCCGTTCTGTATTGCTGAATTAGTTTCTGTATCTTTTTGTTGAACTCATTAAACTTGGGAGCCTACCATTTTTGCATTTAACACGAAAACGGTGATTTTTATCAACATTATCTAAGAGTGATAAAAGCTTCTAAAATAAATTTTCTATTAGAAACTGCAAAAATAAATGTAGGGTTACGATCGAACAAAAAAGTTCTGAGCAAACAAATTTTAGGGACTCCTGTATAGCATGGTTGCCGCCGCCCGATCAAAGTCAAAATTGGTTCAATGATTTTGCTTGATATTTGTTTACCCTGTATCAAATTTCAACGCTCTACCATAAATGGTATTGAAAATATTTAGAAAAATGTGTTAAAATTTTTGAATTTTGATGGCCCATATCTTGGCCATTTGAAGACTTTTATAATAAATTTTTATCACCAATCGTCATCATTTTTGCTCTAGTATATGAGGTTAATTTTATTCCCCGAGTCACGGGAACACCCTGTGTATAAATAATAATTTTTCTTTTAATTTCAGTTTAACTCTTAAATGTGTCAAGGGAAACACATTCGAAATAGCAAATATGTCAGATCCGATATCACCAATTCACGCTCAACTATCCACAATATACATGTCCTGTTCAATGCTAACACCCGCTGGAATACAAGGATTTATAATTCCGGAAGAAATCCAAGTTTTCGCCGGTATATTAATCTTTATAGGGACTTTTTTGACTGTAACATTTGCCGGTAGATTCATAACGCTTTACTCTTTTACTCACGGTACTTTATTAAAATATCAAAATGATATTAAATCGTTACTTACCCACATGAATTCTCTCAAAGTTAGCTCGGTTTTTCAAAAACAGCTCATTGCAAATTACGAAATTAAATATAAAATGATACAAACGAATGATGTTCATGCATTTTTAGGTCAAGTTTCGCAGCCGCTTAAATTAGATGTTCTTTATGATCTTTATGGGATTAGATTAGCTCAAGTTTCGGTTTTTACGAAAGGCGATATGGGGTTTTATAGAAATCTTTTACCTCTCATGAACTACAATATTATTAGTAAAGATGGGTTTTTAGGGAGATGTAATGACGTGGGTTCTGATATTTATATTGTGTATAGTGGTGTTGTGCAGGTACTTAATTCGATGGGTAAACAAGAGAGGGTTTTATACGTGGGAAGTATGTTTGGAAATATGAATAATAGGGAGTATATTAGGTACGTGTGTAGTTTTCAAGCTGCCACGCACGTGGAGTACTTTCATTTACCCGCTTTAGAGTTTTTTAAAATCTTAAAATATTACCCTACAACTTGTAACGAATTTATTTTCTTTAGGTCAATTTTTTCCAAATATATCGCAGCTCATAAAGTCGATATAAATGATGGTAGTGTTGCGAACAAGTTAAATTTTAAAGGATTCGTTTTTCGACACAATACTAAACGAATGAAATCGTGGAAGTTTTTTATATTGGTGTTTGTTTGTTATTTCGGAAATATTCTTAATTCGTATCAGTTAAGCGTTCAAGAATATTCACAAACTATTTTAACGCTGATGTATATCTTCGATGTTGCTTATGTATTAGATTATTACATAACTTCTAGAACATCTTATATAGATAAAACAGGTTCGCATGTCACAAATTTAGACATGATACAACAATATCGGAAAAGAAATAAGTTTTTGTATGTAATGAGAATTATTGGGTTAATACCTTTCGAAATCCCCGTTTTATTACTTTACAGTATGGAGAAGAGTTCGAAATATTTACTTTATAGCATAGCTCGTTCAAATCGTTATTGTCGCCTTATTTTTATCTTCACTTATTTTACTCAAAAATCTTATAGATTAAACGTTAACGTTTATTTAATGCGTTTGAGTTATATATTTTTGTGGACCACTGTAGCCCTAACAATAATTACAATGTTTATCATCGCGCCTTCAAGTTATTTTTGGACGGATGATATTTATCCGCCAATTCCCCATTACAAAACAATGTTTGATATGAACTCCACGGAAAAATTTATGACGTACGTAAATTGTTTGCATTTAGCAACAGATTTCATTTCGTTTACACCACAATTAAGATTTCATCCGGTTTCGATAGGATACATTATTCTTTTTACAATAATCAGGATCCTCTCATTACATTTAATGTATTTGTGTTATAGCCAAATATACTGTTTGGTCGATCAATATTCTTTTCACTTCGTGCAATTTCGCGATTCGCTACAACGCTTAGAAAACTTTATGAAACGCGAAGATGTTTCGGTTGCTTTGTATGATAGAATAATGCATTATGTACGAAAGCGTTGGTCGAGGAAAGCAACAGATGTTTTCCCGGCGTTAATGGAGAAAGCTCCGTTATATTTACGCGAAGACATACTTATGAGCGTTTTTGGGACTATCCTAACCGCACAACCCGTATTCGAATCTTGCAATAATGATTTACTTAGACAAATTGCTGGAAAGATACGAACAAGAATCTTTTATAGGCAAGATTACATACAATTTGAAGGAGTCATCGATGAGTGCATGTATTTTATTCTTGAAGGAGAAGTTATTGTTACGAATGATTCCGGAATAATGTTGAAAACTTTAAAAGGGGGTGAAGCTTTTGGCGTACAACAAGGTGTCGATTCTAAAGCGAAACATGAATTCACTTACATGGCAGGGAAGAATAGCACGATTGGAATTTTAAATTCGAATAATTGGAAATATTTGTTAGGATATTTCCCCGTAGATGAAATCAAAATTCGATCTTTTATTAATGAATTTAGAAAATCCAAAAAAGTTAAAATTAAATAAATTTATTTAAAATTTGTAAAATCAAATATATAATAAAATTGTGAAAAGAATTTAATTTTTATGAAGATCTACTGGGTATTTTTAAATTTTGAATCTTCTCTCGTATTTCCCCAACCGATCTATTACGTTTTTTGTTCAATTTATTTTTCCACAACCACATGCGACAATCTTTTTTCCAACGCGTCGCGATATCATTCAACGAGTACCTTTTTCCTCTATAATTCAACATATCATCTCTCACCAAGAATACTTGGTTCGAAATTATTTCTTTTGTGACGTAACCACGCTCAACAGTTCCATCAATTTCGCTTTTATGTAATTGCTCGTTCGAATTTATGTTGTGTTCATGCTAAAATTAAAGAAAATTTAATTAAATATCATTTAATACTGACGAAATCATTTACTGAACAGAAATTTGTTGATTTTGGGCCGCATTTTAATTCTTCCAAAGCACCTGTAAAAGATCTTGCTTCGCGAAGACTTAAATTCGGTTGCCCCGTGTTGAAACCAATTGAAGACACTGATTTGCGAAGGTTGTACTTTTTACAATTTTCTTCTGTTGGCCATGCCATTTTTTCTTTGATGCGTAATAAGGCAATTTTAAAAATATTAGTCTAACAAAAAATGTCAAACAATTCTAAAATGACATTTTTTTAGACATTGAGTCAGTTTTCTTTATTTTTTGAGTATTTGATCAATTCAAAAATCAAGCTTAAAATATTATTTTCTCAAAAACTAAAAGTAATTTTTCAAAACCTGTTGATTCATTGGAAAGGGAACACTTTTATTAACACTTTGGGACATTTTCATTCTCATATTCCATGAAATGGATTTTGTACGAATTATTAAAACTTAATCTGCGAAAATTGCAAAATTCGAAAAAATTGTTTATTTCAAAAATTTATTTCTCGAAAAGTGAAAGTGATTTTTCAAAACGGCTTTTTGCATTAAAAAGAGGATACTTTAATTAATAATTGGTGATATTTCCACAAGGATCCTTCAAGAAATTAATTTTATAGCGAATTTTGAAAGTTATCGATGAAAATTGCAACATCGAAAATTTTATCAAAACTTCAAATATTGCCAACATTACTT